TGTTAAGGAGATTGAGCCTTATTCTGAGACATGAATACCATGCAAAACTTCAAGGAAGAGCAGCCATTATCTTTGTATAACAAAATGATATTACCAGAAAAAGGATAGCTTCTAATGAACCTAAAGTAACAAAAGTTAATGTAGAATTGGAAAGAAGATTCCTTAGCATTCTGTTTGTAATTATTAAATGTTGAAGAATAACGAAGATAGAGCAGAGGAAGGGCTTTGTATTGAGAATATTTCTAAATAATATTCAGTTTTTCCCCCTTGGGAGTAAAAAAAAATGAAAAGTCACATAAACTACATTTTAGACTCAGGTAGTGGTTTAAAAATCTATCATGAATCAGAGGTAACACTGAGCTAGCTGGCACAACCTAGTTAGAGAAATGTTGTTATTTCTATTGTTAGTCCATTTTTTCTTTCAATTAAGAAAAAAAATGACTGAGTTAATAATAATGTGCCCCACTCTTCTGACTGAAAACAAAAGCTATCAAGAGCAGTCCAATTTCTGATAGCCCAGGACAAGGGCATTTTTAGAAAATCAAGATTGGGCAGCTGAGATACACATCTTGCTTGTTCAGATAATGCCTGGAGTTCTAGTTGGCCTTCTCGCAACTTCACCCAAAAGAACAAGCCCATACTAATGAAAGAAGTGACCCAGCACAGTAAAACCTGATTCAGAAGAACTCATTAACATCACGGTCATTCTTAGCCTCATCCATTCAGAGGGAGAACGTCAAATTTGGAAGAAGTAGTCTACTTTGCCTTGAACCAGGGTGAGAACATTGGATAACGTTATAATAACTGATAACAATTGGTGCCATTTCAATCATTTCCTTTTTATTATAATAATCAACTCAAATAAGTAGGCCTCCCTATTTTACGTTCCAATGGGACTATTTTGATTTAGGTAAAAACCTGGGGGTAGACTAGGGAGGGTTTAGGTAAGATTGTTTTTTTACTACTCAGACTAGTTAAGAAGTCATTCAAATAAGCAGCCTTAAATTTTCCACCTGATCCAAGAGAAAATCAGAGAGGAAGCAACCCTCAACAGGGTACAGAGCTCTAAAATATTCTATTCTCCTTTTTCACCATCCATGGTTAGGGGGAAAGGGAACCAAGACACCACAGTACAAACCTAATGATGTCACATATTTTTATATATATATACATATTTTTTTAACTTGAAAACCTTCGAAGGCTCCCTTTTGCCAAAGATAAAGTCCAACTTTCTGGCATGGATGCAAAGGTCTTCATGTACAGTTGCCTGTGGATTGTAATATCACCTTAGTTGAAACCCCAGGAAAACCTTTCTAGGAAAAGCTATTTCTAAGGTGGAGAGGGGAGGAGAGTTTAGGTAGAGGGAATATGCCACTGAGTAAAGCCCAGATGACAGAAGCCCTAAGGTATACAGGGAAACCCAAGCAGCTGGATACTGTGGAACGTAAAATGTGAGGGAGGAAATAGCGAACTATTGTAATTTAACCAACTGAAATTATCAAGAACCCTTAGGATGTACTCAGCAATGGCTTATCACAAATCTATCTCCAGGCTTCCATCTTTTAAGCTCAGATAATTTAAGAGAAAGGATTTTCTCTTCTTTATTTTTATTTTTAAATAACTGCACAAATAATATATGTATTCCTTGTTTAAAAGAATTATATAACTAAGGATAAAATCCCTTTGAACCCTTTAATATCCCCACTCCCAGAAACAACTAGTCTGACATGTATATTCTTTCAGAATGTTTACTAAACATTCGTAAATATGTACCCACAAAAATATATAGTATTACTTTATGTTCTAGGGTTTCCAGATACATGGCATACTTCGGCTTTCTTCTTTTACTAGACAATGTTTTAGAAGTCTATCTACGTAAGTCCAAATAGATCTAACTTATTATTTTACATTATAGAAAACTTAACAGCTCAATTAATTTAGCTATTCCCCTACATTGGTTATTTAGGTGTTGACAATGTATTTTTACAGCACCATTCAGAGTTTGGCAACCTAGATAGGGAAGAATAGTTCTGAAAATCACATACACTCATCTCCAAAGTCAAGAAATAATGTGTCTTCCTGGTGATAATAGTTTGTTTTCAGTTTGACGCATCTTGTGAAAGTGAGTTAGACTAATAATTAAGAGAAATCCTCAGTTTTTGGATTCAAACTGCAGCCAGAGAAAATGAAATAACGATAAATACTTGTCAATATGTGTGAATCTCTTCTGAAATTCTAATTTTATTTCCACCAAACAGTCCTAGAAATTCTGTATATACATTTTTCACTGAGCTCAAACCCTAGGAGTCTAGTATCTAGTGATTTGCTCAATTCACATAATCCATTTGAATCTAAATACTTGAACTTCCTTGAATAAGTTAGCAACATTTTTCTTTTTCGATGAGGTTTAATAATCACTGTATCTAATATCTTACAATGTTGGTAAGAAAATATAGTTTTGGGAACCCTCGAGGATTAAGTGAATTGGGCTAGTTCAAAATGGTCCTTGATACAAGGGAAGGAGATCATTGAGGAATCTTTTCATTAAGTTTCTACTGCATGAAAACAAAAATTTTAAATTTCCAGAGTACACTATAGGTTCTTTTAAAACACTGTTAAGTTGACAGTGGTTAAGAATACAAAAAGACATCCTTCTTGCAATCTCAATCACTTCTTCTATAATACCAGTGTTTACAAGTTAGAAAGGTCATAGCCCTTAGTCTTCTAATTAATGATTTAATGAAACATAGATACACCAAATGTTTGTTTTGATTTGAATAAACTTTTGAAATCAAATTTTTATTATACTGCATATATTCCTTCTATAGTAAAACAACTGAGTTCTTACATGTTCTGACCAAACCTCTAAAATTCCTTATCTGCAAATAAGCCCTACCAGTTCACATATACTAGTTAATTAAAAATAAGAGTAGGGGTTGTGTGCATTTGTTTACTTCGAGTAGCAGCTGGATCTCAAGAAGGCTATACCTCAGGCAGGGAACTACTGGCAATGAGTTGTCTGTTGTGCTCTCGATGTGCTGGGGACCAAACTGGCGAGCTCACCAGAGGTAGTATGATTTCAAGCAGCACCGTCCAACATAAATAGAAACGTGGGCCACAAATAAGAACGATATGTATAATTTAAATTTTTTTTTTTTTTTTTTGAGACGCAGTCTTGCTCTGTCGCCCAGGCTGGAGTGCAGTGGCGCTATCTCGGCTCACTGCAAGCTCCGTCTCCCGGGTTCCCACCATTCTCCTGCCTCAGCCTCCCAAGTAGCTGGGACTACAGGCGCCCGCTACCACGCCTGGCTAACTTTTTGTATTTTTAATGGAGACGGGGTTTCACCGTGTTAGCCAGGATGGTGTCGATCTCCTGACCTTGTGATCCACCCGTCTTGGCCTCCCAAAGTGCTGGGAGGCATGAGCCACCACGCCCAGCTAAAAATTTTTTAATTTCTAATTTTCATGGGTACATAGCAGTATATATATTTATGGGGTACATAAGGTATTTTGATACAAGCATATAATGTGTTATCCAATTTAAAACTTTTAATAGCCATATTTAAAGAAAAGTTAAAATTAATTTTAGTAATATGTTTTATTTTACCTAATATAGGCAAAATACTATCACTTCAATGTATGACCAAAATTTTAAAACTATTAATGATATTTTATATTCTTTTGTTCACACTGTCTTTAAAATACTGTACTTCACACATACAGCACTTCTTAATTGGATCACATTTCAAGTGCTCAAAAATCTATATATGGCTAGTGTTTACCATATTGGACAGCACAGATATAGAGGAAAAACCAAAAGCATTGGGATTAACATAGTCCTAAGTCTGAATTCTAGTTCCATAACTCACTAAGCTTTGTGACCATTAGCCAGTTATAAAAACACTCTGAGCCTTGCTGTCCTCATCAGTAAAACAGAAATAATATTACCTGCTTTGCAAATTTCTTATAAGAATTAGAGATAATATATGTAAAATACCTTGGCACATTGTATGCCTGGCACATAACAGAGCTCAATAAAATCCTCATCATCCTCATACACATAGGAGACAAATAAGGATCACTGTAAGAAAGGTCAAATTCCAGTCAACCTAGGTGCCTATCAGTGGTGGATTAGATGAAGATGGGGTACATATACACCATGGAATAATACACAGCCTAAAAAAGAATGAAATCATATCTTTTAGGCAAGATGGATCAAGCTGGAGGCCATAATACTAAACAAATTAACACAGGAACAGAAAACCAAATACTGCACATTCTCACTTATAAGTGGGAGCTAAACACTGAGCACACATGGACATAAACAGGGGAACACTAGACACTACGGACTACTAGAGGTGAGAGGGAGGGAGGGGAGCATGAATGGAAAAACAACCTATTGGCTGCTATGCTTACTACCTGGTGACAGTATCTATACCCTAAACCTCGGCATCACGTAACATGCCCATGTAACAAACCTGCACATGTACCTCCTTATCTAAAATAAAAGTTGAAATTTAAAAAAAAAGAAAGAAAGTGAAGGTGGAGAAGAGAAAGGGAAGAACTTGAAATAAGGTTATCAAAATGTTTTCTAACTAAAATCAATCAGCGGTCATCCATACAAAATAAAAACAAAATCCACATTTTCCAAAATTACTATATTGTTAGAATGAGAGATATGGTGGAGGGCTTATAACTCACAAATTTTTTAGAGCAAATTTTTAAAATTTGCTTTCTTGATTATTGTTGCCATACTAATATTACTTTCCATTTCTAAAAGGAGAAAACGGCTGGAAAGGTGACTAGAAAATTGAGTGGCACAGAAGTGGCATGAGGATAAAAATGCTTATACATAATCTATAAAAACTATACTATGTATACTGATAACTAAGAATTCACTATATAATACATAACAAACTTTCTTCAAATAATCGTTATAGTATGTTTTCCATTCATTTATATAAGATCAAAATGCAATACAGAAAATCTATAAAACATACCTCTGATAAAAATGTTTGAGCTGATTTCTGAGCTCCTACATGGAGCAGATATTCATATACGTAGAGTGCTAACCTGGAAAACAAATAAAATATTTATTGAGAAGAAGAATATTAAAATTCATTCTTTAAATAATGCACATCTTTCCATTGCTGAAATATCTTACACACTAACAGTGACCAAAAATAAACCCTTCCTATGCTATTTCAATAGGAATTATTAATAATACATTTATGTTCAGAAAGAACTTAAAGTAATTAAAAGTAGCACATGAAGAAAAAGACAAATGTATTTTTTCTTGGCAAGAAATATATAGAGATTTTTTTCTTGAATCATCTCACTTATCATAAGCTCATTCCCACTGCTATATCTACTATTAATAATCTCTAAATTCCATTTGAAGGCATAATAACCTTTCATTAGTAAAAGAAATGAATTAAGTTAGTGAACTTTCCCAACACTTTATGTCCTTCAATCTTTTTGGTGAATGTTAATGTAAACTCTAGCTGTTTGTAGAAACATATGCCAAAACTGTGTTGAATATCCATTTTAATATTTGCTCAGCAACTTCTCCTTATTCTTTAGATTTGATTGTTAAACCAATAATACTTTAGTTTACAAGGCATTCAGATTCACAGCAAACTACAGCATTATGTAAACTTTAAAGATATCAGATCATATTAAGCATATGGGAGCTTACAGTTTAAAGGTTAACAAAATTATGTATAAATTTATCACTCAAATATAGAATATTGAATGCGTTGTATACACAAATTACTCTCATTATCTTGTGGATTCAGAATTTTCAAGCTACACCATGTGGCTCAATTTCAGTTGAGCTGTTAACAAAATATTATTCATAAACCCAAATTAGTCTGAGGCAGTATTTTTAATGATATCTTGGCCCAATGCCCAGATAGCTCACAACAGTTCAGTTTCTGCTACACTATATTTACCAATATTGAACCAGGTTTACAGTAAACAATACAATGTAACAATAACCACAATTCTGTGGTTATAGTTGTACCACTTGTCTTGCCAAGCAGATTTTCGACTTTTAAAGATTGATGGCATTTACAAAAATGAGTATTTTCTTTATTTTCATGAAAACATATAATGCATCTGTCATGAAAAGAGAAAGCTTGTACACATTCAGTTGCTCTGTCCATTTAATTCTTTCCCCATTCCAAAACTGCCAAATATTGTAGCTACTAAGCACCTTGAGAGAGTAGACCTATTAAAGTTACTCACAGAAAGTAAGTTATTGACCGTGAGGATGAATGTAATTTAGAAACATCTCCTAACATATTCAAATTGAATGACACGTCCTACATCAGTGCTTCTCAACTGCTTTTCCTACCCTAACACAATAAGCCTTATAGCATGCTCCCTTCAGTAGCAGTATCTCCCTGTGGAAGTGTGGCTTATCACCCAAAGTATATCATAAGGGATACGGGAAATTGGAATATTCCTGTAGTTTCAAACAAACAATCCTGCTGGTGATTCTTATCACATATTCTTCAAACACATAACCCCATACCTTTCTCCCCCCACTAGTGACTCTCAACTCTACCGCATGATTCAGTGCCCATGATGGCAAATTGTACCTTGGAAAAGGATAATATTTGTAAAATCTTCTTGGATAGGCTGTGGAACCTCAAAATTGCCTGCCAGTGGCAGTCCTGCCCCACTGCCTGAAAAAAAACAGACTCAGGTAATTTCATGCGGCTTGTAAAACCTTGGGCCTAGAGCCAAACCAATGGTTAGCATAGGAAAGAAATCCCCACCTCAGTAAAAGGCTGAACAATAAAGCTGGTCCACCAAGCTTGGGGAATTTGAAAGTGAGAGGCAGAGAGTGAATAAAGCAGGGGCACCATGTTATGGTGAGAACCTGTTATGGAGAGAACAGACCTCAGAACAGTCAAGGCTATGTCCTTTCAGTAAACCCCATTCTTTAAGTTAAGTGAGTTACCTCCTTGTAACGTCTTCTTTCTCATATTAATGGGGATAATACAGTTCTTTTAAGTTTTCTTTAGTACCTAAGAAACAAGCAGCTTACCTCTTTACAAGTAAAATCAAAAGTGATAGTCCCCACTTTCTCCCTCTGTAAATCTAAAATAGTGATTCTAAAAAATGTATTAGAAGGGACTGAGAATAATTGGAGGTTAGGGTTTCAACTGGAGATTCTGAAGTATCTTCCAAGGGTGTGAGCCCATCCTACTACTATTAGAATCTGCTGTGGCAGCTCATTGTTACCCACAGGGTGATGAAGTAGGATCAGGCTGAGAAAACCTATCTATAACGCTACCTCATATATTCATGTTCTGCAATCTCCTTTGAACAAAATTAATGGTTCTCAGGCCATAAGAATCTATGCTCCAAAAAGGGTGTCAGGGAGCAATGCATGGGTGAACAACTAATTAAGTCTACTGCCATGATGACTCCATAATATATGATCAGCAATCTCTAATTTTTTTTTTTTTTAATTTTCATAGGTTTTTTGGGAACGGGTGGTGTTTGGTTACATGAGTAAGTTCTTTAGTGGTAATTTGTGAGATTCTGGTGCACCCATCACCCAAGCAGTATACACTGTACCTAATTTGTAGTCTTTTATCGCTCACCCTTCTCCCACCCTTTCCCACAAGTCCCCAAAGTTCATTGTATCATTCTTTTTTATTATTTATTTATTATACTTTAAGTTCTGGGATACATGTGCAGAATTTTCAGGTTTGTTACATAGGTATGTATACACGTGCCATGGTGGTTTGCTGCACTCATCAACCCCTCATCTACATTAGGTATTTCTCCTAATGCTATCCCTCCCCTACTGCCTCACCCACCGACAGGTCCCAGTGTGTGATGTTCCCCTCCCTGTGTCCATGTGTTCTCATTGTTCAACTCACACTTATGACTGAGAACATGCTGTGTTTGGTTTTCTGTTCCTGTGTTAGTTTGCTGAGAATGATGGCTTCCAGCTTCATCCATGTCACTGCAAAGGACATGAACTCATCCTTTTTTGTGGCTGCATAGAATGCCATGGGGGTATATGTGCCATATTTTCTTTATCCAGTCTATCATTAATGGGCATTTGGGTTGGTTCCAAGTCTTTGCTTTTGTGAATAGTGCTGCAATAAACATACGTGTGCATGTGTCATTTAGAATGATTCATAATCCTTTGGGTATATACTCAGTAATGGGATTGCTGGGTCAAATGGTGTTTCTAGTTCCAGATCCTTGAGGAATCGCCACACTGTCTTCCACAATGGTTGAACTAATTTACACTCCCATCAACAGTGTAAAAGCGTTCCTATTTCTCCACATCCTCTCCAGCATCTGTTGTTTCCTGACTTTTTAATGATTGCCATTCCAACTGGCATCAGATGGTATCTCATTGTGGTTTTGATTTGCATTTCTCTAATGAGCAGTGACAATGAGCTTTTTTTCATGTTTGTTGGCTGCATAAATGTCTTCTTTTGAGAAGTAACTGTTCATATCCTGGACCCACTTTTTGATGGAGTTTTTTTTTTTTCTTGTAAATTTGTTTAAGTTCCTTGTAGATTCTGTATATTAGCCCTTTGTCAGATGGATAGAAACAATCTCCAATATTTTAATTATCACCTCTGTGTATAGGATTTTCCAAACCTATCTCTGTAGTGCTATCCTCTGTCCCAAGCTCCAAACCTGCTTCTCCAAACTAAACTACTGTTTTAAGTTTGGTGTTTCTTGTTTTGTTTTTTTTGAGACGGGGTCTTGCTCTATCATTCTGGCTGGAGTGCAGTGGTGCGATCAGAGCCATCATCCTGCCTGCCTCAGCCTCCCGAGTAGCTCAGACTACAGGCACACACCACCACATCTGACTAATTTTTAATGTTTTTTGGTAAAGACAGGGTCTTGCTATTTTGCCAAGGCTGGTCCCGAACTCTTGAACTCAAGAGATCCTCCTGTCTAGGCTTCCCAAAGTGCTGGGATTACAGGCATGAGCGACTGGACCTGGCCAAGTTTGTTTCTAAAAATATGTTTCTCTCTTAAATTGACCATATCCAAAGTTAAATTCACCTTCTCCATCTGTTTTCATAGTACCCGTGCTCACCTTGAATGGAACACAATTTCTCTGAATGTCAGTTTTTTCATGTGTCAAATAGGAAGAATAATACTTTGCTTGTATTGTCAAAAGGATTAGAAAGCACAGTAAGTAATAACAATTGTTATAATTTTGGCCAATTACCAAATCATGTATTGGATTCTAAGGCACTATCTCTCCCACATTTGCCACTCCTTTCTTTCCTCCTTCCTGCTCTGGAGGAACCACCGGGAGTCACAGCAAGAGCAGGAGCTATAATATTTGCTGTAGCTTCAGATTATGTATTACCCATTAGCTCCCCACAAAAGGACACTGATCCACCAGAAATAAGAATGTCCAGAAAGTTCTGGGGGGAAAGCCCTGTAATAAAAGATACTGTTTGAACACAAATGATTCCGGCAGAGGGGAGTGACATTGTCCATCCATGCAGGTAAATCACAGCTTGGTGCCATGTCTAGTAATGTGAGATCACCAAACATAAGAAAGCAACATTTTGAGCAGGGCATAATGGCTCATGCCTGGGAGTAATCCCAAGAAGTGGAAGGCTGAGGCAGGAGGACAGCTTGAGCCCTGGAGTTTTAGACCAGCCTGGGCAACACAGCAAAACCCCATCTCCAAAAAATATATATATTTATATATATTTTTAAAATTAGCCTGTATGGCTCACACCTGCAGTCCCATTGATTTGGGAGGCTGAGGCAGGAGGATCACCTGAGCGCAGGAGTTGAAGGCTGCAGTGAGCTATGATCGCATCATTGTCCTCCAGTATGAACAACAAAGTCAGATCTTATGTCAAGAAAGAAAGGAAGAAAGGAAGGAAGAAAGAAAGAAAAGAAAAGAGAGAGAGAGAGAGAAAGAAAGGAAGGAAGGAAAGAAAGGAAAGAAAAGAAGAAAAAGGAAGAAAGAAAGAAAGAGAAGGAAAGGAAGGAAAAGAAGGAAGAAAGAAAGAAAAGAAAAGAAAAAGGCAACATTTTATTTGGATTACCCAACAGTG